CCAATTAAAGCACTTAAAACTCAAACTCAAGTCCATGCTACAGCTCAAATAGTAAGAAAAGATTAAGGGCTTTCAACACCAGTTGAAAAACACAAGTCTAACGAGGCTTATTATTGCCTTTTCTTTGTTGAAACATGTTAGAAAAAGATAGTAAGTAACAGAAGAATAAGTTTCGAAATATGATTTCACTTTTTTTAAAGATTCAAAATCTCTCAAAATACAACAAAACTTAAAAACTCTCTTAAGATTAAATGTAGAACATAAACTTTTGTTAGGGAACTTATATTGGATGAATAGACACAAGTTGAAGGGATATATTCATTTAAAAAGATACCAACCAAAGAGATATGTTCTCATAGAAAGACCTCATTATGAAAATGTGTCTTTTAGCTGTCAGAAATTATATTTGAATCTTAATGATAATATATAAAGGGGCAAGATCCAAACTCAAAAATCACAGGCCCTAAGTTTCAACTTTCCATAATTGTCTATAGATAGAGAGTAAATATATATAAATCCCTTTATTTCCTTATTCTTTCTAGTTGTGAGACTTTTATTTTTCAAACTATTCAACAAAATATTAGTTACAATCACTCAACCATATCTTTATATATATATAATATTTAAAAATTGAGACCACTTAAAAAGTTTAAAAAATACTCAATTTTAACACCTTTAATTCCAAAAAATAAAATGAGTCGTCCTCAAACCATTCAAACTTCTTAAATTCTTCACGGTCTTAATAATACTAATCCTAGATAAAGTTTCTTCACATTCATAATATCTCTAATCTCTAATTGGAATTCAATGTGGTTATTAGATATCGAGAGATTAATATCAAAAAATAATATCTCTAATCCCAAACAAAGACTAAATCTACCTACAAATTACTTAATGTGAGTAAAACATAAAAGATATACTTTAAAAAACTATAAATTAAAAATATTATGTTGATTAAGTATTTTAACTAAACTATATACATAGCCTTGTTCTTTAAATATTTGACTCCAGGAAGGAAGTTTGGATTGAGAATGGGCTAAGCCTGAATTAGTTAATCGATGCGTTGGCTTGGCTGGTCTCCTCACTTTTCATGGACAGATCGAACTAACATCTTGCGTTAAGAAAATAGCAAAGGTAAATGGTATACATGCACCACTAGATGTTATTGATAGGATAACGGAAACTTTAAACATGTTCATGATATTTCGGCTTAGGAGTGTTGAATTGTGCCCTTGAATTCCGCTAGACACGAGTACTAGTACTATTTCTTGAACAATTAAGAACAAATTAGTAGAAAAGACAGGCAATTTCACCCAACATTAAATGTTGAGAAAAGTGCACTTTTAACCAATTAACATGAAGACATGGTGAAGAACTACTATTTGTTTTATTCCCTACAAATTGGAATCATTTGATAGTATCATGGCGTCTCCATCCTTAGAAAAAAATTAAAGATTGATTGATGTTTGAAACTTGGAACATAAGAAAGAATCCGATTCAGTGGATCCGTACTGTTTATTCTATTAAGGACGTTTTTGGTTAAAAGTAGCCTTTTTTGGAAAAGTTCTTTTATTAAGCAATTAATTAAAAATTATATAAAAAGTTCTTAAATTTTATAATAAAATTTCATTAGTATTTTGTTATATTTGATAAGAAATATATCTCGTAAAAATTGTTAAGTAGATTCATATAAGCAAAGTTGTAAAAACCTTTCAATAAGGTATGAAGAAAATTTATAAACGGACAATTATATTAAGAAAAATAAAGGCAAAAAAATCTCGCTTTCATTTTTGTGTATAAATACTAAAATATCACACAAAATCTTAAAACAAGGCATTTCATTAGAAAGTAAACAAAAGGGTTAAAACAACTGTTGAGTGTCACACACACATATATTGGAGAGAATCGAAGATATTATTCCTGCTTAAATAAAA